ACTGCCGTCGACCCCACACTCCCAGCCCAACCCGCCACCCCAAGTGATAGCGCCTGCTCGCGGTGACACCTCACCGTGGCTGGAGAACCCGACACCGCAGGCTGTACCGGGTCTGCGGAGCTCAGACCAGTTCTTGGGTGCAGGGGGTCGCTGGGGCCCCACTGCCTACTTTTCCCTTCTCCTGCCATTCTGACACATTAATAATTTGCAGTTGTATCTTCAAATGTACAACAAATGTGAGGTGTAAAATCTCGGTTCAAGTCATAAAGATGGCAAATTCGGTCGAAGGATGTTTTGTCTACGTAAGGAAACTTGGATTCTGGCCGAGGGAAGGCTAGTAGTAATGGTGCTTTTCCCGTTAACTCTTTTTTTTTTTAACTTTTTCATTCCCGTAGTCACTAAGTACAGCTGTCTTGAAAGGTAGCCTTACTTTGGGGGAGGGAAGACATGGTCTATATGTAAAATACAATGGGTTGTGCCATCTCTATTTTTATTACTGTTTGTTTGCTACATTCAGTTTTGTGGGAGATTTTATATATGACAATCTGATCAGTTTTCCAACCTGACCCCAATTTTAATAACTGAGTTATGCTAATTTTATCTATGTTTTGGAATGGTGCCAGGAACCCTAAAATAGTCTGGGTCTAGAAGTATAGATAAATAAGTCCAGTTATCTCAGAGTAATGCAATAATCATTATACATGGATGACATGAGTAGCAAAATAAAAACTATCATTCTTTTGAAACTGTGGACAGTAGCCTCTAAAGTTGAACATTTGTGTACTCTATAAGCCATCAGTTGTACTATATTTCTAAGTGAAATGCTCGACAGAAATGAGTATGTGCACAAGACAGAAAAGATTGTTTATAATTGGTCAATCGAGGAAATATTTCTATGTCCATCAACAGTGATCTGTATTCTTTAATAATTGTGGCATATTGACATACTTGAATGTCATAGCAATGAAAACTACTGAACTGCATTTACTTATGATCATTTAGATGAGTGTATTTCTTTTTTGTCTGTCCCAAGAAGACAGACAAAAAAGAACCAACTTTACTACTTTCTAATGTTCAAAAACAATTGTGTGTGTGTGTGTGTGTGTGTGTGTATTCATATGTCATGATAACCTGAAGTGAAGGGTAGTGACTAGAAGGGGGGGGAGAGAAAGTGGTTTTGGAGTTCTGTTTATGTTCTCTCCCTTGACCTAGGTGCTAATTATTACAAGTGTGTTCACTCTGAAAACCTATATCATACAACCTATGTATCATACAACCTATATATCTAATGTATGTTAGAATTCAAAAAAAATCTTATATGAAACAAGGAATAAATTTTATTCCTGATGTTCTCATATAAACAAATTATTTATTAGATAACTTGCTTTGTCACAGTGTACAACTTGGAGGGAATATATAGAACTTACAAAGATTTGAAAGAAGAATAAAAAATTGAAGAATTGGAAATTAATGGGACAACTAGGTAATCTTGGTATCTCCTAAAGAGATTTAACCAAGGAGTATTTAATAAATTTTTTTTAAAGATTTATTTATTTGTGCATACAGAACTGGGTTACAAGCCAGAGGTGCAGGGATGGGGAGAGGCTTCAGCAGAGACAGAGCGGGGAGCAGAACAGGCAGATCAACGAGGTACACTGCTGAGGGGAGCAGCGGGCGGGTCAGGGGAGGTCTACTGCGCCATGTGGTCACCGTCACCTCCGGGGTAGGTGGGAATCGAACTCATGCGGAGGTGGCTTTAGATTCTCAGTGCTGTGCTTTAACCCGCTGCGCCACCGGGGAGGGCCCGTATTTGATAAATATTTTAGGAAACTAAAGACCCTTAAGAAGATGATGGTGAGCCATTTGCCTTAATTACTAAGAAAAGGAACTTGGTATTTTAAGCAATGACCCAAGGTGTTATCATCTTTGACTTGTAGAACTTTCTCCTGTTAAACATCCATATGGACAGACCCAGTAGGTATCTGGTGGTAAAGTGTAGTGCAGCCAGTGTATACCCTGTCTCTGGCTCTTTCCCCAGACCATCAGGTGTTGGATGAGAAATTGCTTTAAGGGCAGATAACCAAACAGAAGGGCAGCCTTCAGAACAGATGGAAAGCTCAGCACAAAGAAGGAACCATTAGAGAAATCAAGCACAGCATAAGGTAATCTGTGTACATACATAGAGAAGCTTAGTGGGATGGTAAGCCAGATTAATTTCTTGCCAACTCCAATTGGTTGGTACTGGTCACTGTGCTGAGCAAAATTTTTAGACCAAATCCAGCATTCACAGGAAAAAGTATCTTAAAAGATGAACAGCCCCTCAGTTTAGGCTGAGTTCTTAAGGGAACACCATCGTATATTTACCGATATCCAAGCACTGCAAATAACAGGAGTAGAAAGATTTCAAAATATTTAAATGTTTCTGTAATATGTGTGTGAATATTGTGCATTTACTCCAGAAAGATATCCTAGTCAGAAAAGAACTTAAAGACCACATAGCCTAGGAAAATGTTACCTTTTTAAGGATTTATGGGTGGGGTGGGCCAGGTAGGTAGGGAGTCTTCTGTACAAACTGTCAAAAGAAATCTTACATAGAAGCCCCCCCCAATACAAAGTAAATAGCTATGTGTCTCTTATTAGAAATAGGAAGAGATACAGACCCTATCCACTTGAAGCCTTTTAAACTTCTGAAGCATCTCTGTAGAAGCTCGGGGCTTAAAATGCATGAAAGAGTATACATCCTTAATTTTTTCTGATGAGGAAAATGATGTCAGGTTGAAAAATTTTCTCTAGGTCACACCACCAGTCTTGATATCCACTCCACCCCCACCCCCCATTTAAGTAGTTCTTATACTGGGATCTGAAACTGAGAGAATTTAATGTTTTGAATTTTATTTATTTATTTATGCATACAGAACTGGGGTGCAGGCCAGAGGTGTAGGAGGCGGTGAGAGGATTCACCAGAGAGTGGGGAGTGGGGAGCAGAACAGGCTGACTACGAAGTACACTGCTGAGGGGAGCAGTGTGCCATGTGGGTCACCTCCGTGGTGGGCCTGAACTCATGCTATGGCTTTAGCTTCTCAGTGCTGTGCTTTAACCCGCTGCGCCACCAGGGAGGGTCCTTAAATTTTCTTAAGATACATTAACTTGACTTGCGAGGAATCAAATAGAAATTGCATTAGTTCAAATAAAAGATCTATCTGAAGGATAAAATCATGTGGGATCCAGGGGTAAGTATACTAGGAGGACTGAGAAAGTGTAGTAAGCAGCTCAGCAATAGGGAGGGCTTTGTAACAAGAGCTCAAGGACATTTATTTTAACATAATGTTGTGAACATGACTTAGTTATTAATTCACCCATTTCTGTGAATCTTAGTTCACACTGTAAAGTGCAAGCATTGGTTGGTCTGGGCAATAAGTTTATTAACTGTCAGTTTTCTGCTCATAGGCCTATGAGCTGTGCCTGGGAGGAAAGTGGAGGAGCAGTTTCTGGGAAATAAAGGACAGCTTTTCTTAGAAGGTACTGTGGGCAGGGACCAATAGTGTGCTAGTAAATATTTAACAGCCACTTCTGGAATAGGAGAGGAAGTCTTGATTTGTAGCATTTGTAGATTTCCTCGGTATAAATACATATACCATGATTCATGTAAAACTACCAACATGTGACTGATTACAGAGTTGTAAAGAGACATATGGTAGTACATTAAAAAATTAAATTTCCACTATCAAAAAAATTTCCACTATACAATAAAAATAGTAAAATAATTGGGAAATGATGGGTTTTGTTGTTATTATCTCTGCTTTTAATATAATGTATCTAATTACAAGTTTATATAATTACTAATATTGCCCTTGTGTAATAACTAGCTCACTAATTTCATGCAAATTTAACAACCAGCTCTATTAAGTTCTTGTGAGTGGTTTCTGGCACAATGCTATAAGATATGTAAAGATCACCATACCCATAAGAAAGTTTGGGTGTTTTGAAGTGAGAAGGAAAAGAGATGCAAAGGACATGAGATTAAGCAAAAAAATAAGATAAAATAAAATAAAGAAAAATGAAGAGTTTACTCTTCTTTCATATACACAAATTAATTAATGTTAATTAATGTGCTTTAATACATGAATATAAGAAAGGATAAAAATCATCTAAATATTTGCAGAGAAAATATTTGACAAGATTCAACATCCATTTATGAGAAAAGCTTTCAATTAAGTGGATATAAAAGGAATGTACCTCTACATAATAAAGACCATATATGACAAACTGAAAACTTTCCCCCTATGATCAAGAATAAGGCAAGAATGTTACTTTTATCACTATTATTCAACATAAAATTGGAGATCTTAATCTGAGCAATTAAACAAGAAGAGGAAATTAAATGTTTCATAGTGGAAAGGAAAAGATAAAATTATCATGATATGCAGATGGCATGATAATTTACATAGAAAATTCCAAAGAACGCTCTAAAAAATTAAGATGATAAATGAGTACCAAAAAGTAGTAGGCTACAAAATAAAAACTAAAAGTCAATTGCATTTCTGTATGCCAATAATAAACTACCAGAAAGAGAAATTAAGAAAACACTCCTATTTACAATTTCATCAAAAGGAATGAAATATCTAGAAATAAATTTAACCAAGGAGATGAAAACCCTATACACTGAAAACTAAAAAAGACACTTAGGAAAGTAATGATACTCAGAGAAATGGAAAGATACACTGTGCTCAAGGA